TGTGTGTGTGTGTGTGTGTGTGCGTGTGTGTGTGTGTGTGTGTGTGTGTGTGTGCGTGTGTGTGTGTGTGTGCAGGATTTGAATTAACCAGTAGGCTTTATATTTTCCGCCTAGGCTTTTATTTCTTCACACCCCAATTATCTTTCCTTTCGGATAATTCACGCTCTCCTGTCCGTTCTCCAGCTCAAACGCAGACGTTTTACTTCTTTACAACTCTCAATAATTCATGGGCTGTGTGAATATTTACATGTGAAGGATCGCCCGCGCCGCAGGAGACAGGCATGTTTATAATGTTAAACACTTAAACGTCCCACCAGACTGGCTTCAGATTCCAGCACTTCTGCACACCAACCATTGCTTTTCTGTTTAATTGTATTGCTTTACCAGTTTATTGTGAGTAAATAAAGGATGCAGCGGAGTATGATTCACGATTCATAACTCATGCAGCGTTTCAGTGCAAACCTGAACATTACATTTTACAAGCATTTATTTTTGGTGCAATGACACTTGAAACAGCATCTATACACATCTATAAAGCTACAATAAAAGCTTTAATATAATGTTTTTGGTAACACTTTATTATTTACAGTGTCATTGTTATATGTGTTACATGCACTAAAAACTATAATTACATGCAATTAACCCTAAACCAAACCCTCATCCTAAACAAGTAGTCATTATTATTACTCAGTACTTAAATGTATAAATTACACTGTAATACTGACACCTTAAAATAAAGTGTAACCCACTTTATTTTACAGTGTCCTTGTTACACATGTTACATGTAGTTACTGTAGTAATAACTATAAATTGTGCATAATTACATGCAACTACCAAATCCTAATCCTATATGTAGTTAATTATAATTACACTGTAACAATGACACCTTAAAATAAAGAGTAACCTACTTTCATGCTAGGTGTAAGTATTTGCACATATTACATACTTACCTAATAATAACAGTATTAAACCCTAAACCAAGCCCTGAGCCTAAAGATAAAGTCCAACCACCGTTTTCATTAGTATTGTAAATATCGTTGTATGTAATCTATAGAAGTCTAGCGTGTGTGTGTCGGTGTGTGTGTGTGTGTGTGTGTGTGTGTGTGTCGCTGCGGAACTGGAGGCCAGCACATGTAAAGATGAAACTGTACGTGCTGTCATCAGTGTGTGTGTGTGTGTGTGTGTGTGTGCGTGTGTGTGTGTCTGTGGCACTGTCTCTCAGGCGTCTCCTATGTAGATCTGGGTGTCCCGCTCCTCTTTGATACTTCAGGCTGTATTTGAGTCACTGGTCCCAGTGTTTGACAGTGTGTGGTAATTACCTGGCTCTGCTTGATCATGTAAACTCTCACAGAACCAGGGGAGATGCAGTCAAATGGGAAGATGTAAGGAAAACAAAACAACAACAAAGATGGCAACGGCATTTTTTTTTTACACGTTGCAAATGTGGATTTTACACCTTTAATTTGAACAGTGGAAACGGAAAACAATTTCTTCTTAACACGCGCGATGTATGTCGGGTATTTGTTTAAACAGCGGAAAATCATCAGTCCTGAGGGGAGCATCATAACTCTGCATAATGACTGAGAGAGGGGGTGTTTCTGCACGGCATATAGCCTACCTACACTTGCATCCAATTACTAATATGAGCCGGTGAAGATAGGATTTTGTCCTCGACTCTAGACGCAAATGATTAGCGCTAATGAGCTGTCAGTGACGTCAGAGGGCGTGGCTCGTGTTCATTACTGTGGACAAGCCCTCGCGATATCTCGAAATCTAACTTTAACCCGCGTTCCTTTTAAAACTATTAATAATATTTTTGTTCTAAAATGAGACGAAATCTTAGATGAATCGGGTCATGATTAATTCTTCATCTGTAGGCCTGTTCTGTCAGCACACAGACTCGGGCTATTTATCATATCTCGCCTTAGAGGAAATCATTCAAAGTAAGAAACGGGAAACGCAGATCTGACCTAACCGGGGAAATATTAGTAATTGCTTTCTGCGTGTTCCGTTCGAGCGGGACATTATCGGCATGAGTGTAAATTAAAGGTGTTGGTGATGATTATAATATAAAGGTGTCAGAGCTTTAAGCCTCTTAAAACACACACAACGAGCGACAGAAATAACACATTATTAGCCAAGATCATTAATAACCACGCATTTCTGTTTTTTAATATTCTTCTCGTGGACACAGACAGATTTTGACATATAGGCTTCAGGATATAAAACGAGATGCTTTACAATAGTTGTCCTGGTTTCAGTCAGCGCTATAATGATTTAATGGCTATGTGTTTGTTTATTTTGATGTTCGTTTAACCATATCTTATTCGACTAATATATATATTTTATTTAGTAACACAAGGATTAATATAAGCTACAGTTTTTATCTTATATGCTATCACCAGATATATTTGTCTAATATTTGCACTTCTAAATGTCGAGGAGGACAATAATAACAACAACATGAATAGCCTATACTTCTATTGCAGTCTAAGACGCTTGATTTTCAAGAAAATAATTATAGGTATTACTATTTTTATTTTATCTGTCAGGGATGAAATATTTTCCACCGTTAAATTAACGGATTTGAACAAAACTGACACGTGAAAAATAATCGCATAGAAAAGCTGTATGAAAAGCTACATAGCTAAATACTCTAATTGTAGAACATAATGCGGAGCACTAAAAAAATACATAGTTTAAACACTATAATTTACAAAACAAAAACGAATAAAAACAACCATAAAATGTTTTTAATGACAAACTCTTGGTAATCTCTGTTTATTTCGCTCTTCGGAATTGCGAACTGACAAGCTTTGTTTATTAAAAATAATTAATTCGAAACAAACTGTGTTTGAAAGCTATATGTTTTTATCAGTGTTTATGTTTATTTTTATTTAACTACACTTTACACAGGATTGCAGAGTCGCATCATTGATCCGGTAGGTGTCGCTAAAGAGCTGCAGAAACACACACACACACACACACACACACACACACACATTCACAGTGCCGTGAGAATAACGCCACTGAGCAGCCATGAAGGAGAAGACTCCTTTCACACAGAAGAATTTACAGTTCCTCTCGAAACTTCTACACACACTGCTCTACACACACTGCTCCACACACACTGCTCTACACACACTGAAGGATGTTCCTGAGGTCACGGAGAGTTTAGCTGAGCTCAGGCAGTAAACACACCACTAATGTGCCTAACATAAGCACTCACTTCAGAAGAAACAACCTGGAAATGACGGAACATTTGCAAATACGGATGATTCATCTAGAAATCATAATAAATGTTTTTTTTTAATTCGCCAAAATGTTTAAAGTTGAGCAAATTGCCGGCGCGAATATTGTAATGCGCGCGAGTTTCACTGGAGAACTCTTCGACCTGTTGTTGCGTAGAAATCTCTTATAGTTCGTCTATATTTCAATTACATTTTTTAGAACGAAATTAAAAAGCATTAAATAATTCTGAATGATATGAAGCCTTAGCAAATGAGATCGAGTTGTTAGGATAACATAACTCAAGTTATTTCACATAAATAGAAATGCCTCTGAGAGATGTTTTTCATTTAGATTTTATTTTATATTATGATTTTCATTAAAAAAATGTTTAGAACAGTGCGAGGTTGTGTAAAGGTGTGTGTGTGTGTGTGTGTGTGTCGGCCGCAGCTGGGCAGAGACATCGAGAGCTTTAACCCTAAAATGACCTCAATTTGACACCAGATGAAATGTTCCGGCGGGTAGAGCCGCGATCACCTTCACACACACACACACTGATTCTGCTTTCTCTTCTTTTCCTCTCCACACACGAGTTTGTTCAGTCGGTAGGTAAATAAATAAATAAAAACTAAATATTTGATTTCATGCATATTAACAGACATGCATTTCTGAAACCGAACGCGTGATTCCCCGCCGAAAGTTTCTCCTCAGTGTAATTATTATTATTAGTATTATTATTATTATTATTACTATTATTATTATTATTATTATTATCCGCGTGTCGGGGAAAGGCGGGTTTATATCCGAAACCAGATGTAATTAAAACTGAAAAGGAACGGTTACGCTTTAAAATTGTATTTAACCAAAGCGAAAATAAACATGCATTTTTCTCAATGTACTGATTTATTGTATGATTTTGAGTGTTTAAATTTGCACGCATTATTTTGCCTCATTAATAAAGTATAGTTGTTGAAATCTTTTCTTTTTTCTGCAGTGATCGCTCACTTTCCTGCTGATTTGTATAAGTCTGAGATGCACTTACCCGTGTGTCGGCTCAGGCGTGTGTGTGTGTGTGTGTGTGTGCACAGAAGCGCTCGCACTCTTCCTCTTCCTCGCGATGATGATGATGATGATGAAGCACTGGTCATCCAGCCGCGCGCTGTGTCCACTCGCTAGTGCACACTGCAGCCGCTCATTCCCTCCTCTCTCTCATTTATGAATCCGCTTTAATTGCTGTCTTCATTATAAGCCGGGGTTCGGGTGAGTGTGTGTCTGACCTCGTGTGTGAGTTCTGCTCGATCTCCACCAGCGCGTGAAGACTTGATTTCAACAACAAAACAACAGCGCTAAATGTAGACATTTATGTAAAAGGCGATCGATGGGCGCTGATGTCACGATGTGGGCTATATGTTCATTGATGAGGAGTGTTTTAAGGGTCTGTTTGTGGTTTTAGGGGCCACATCTGTAGCGATCGATACCCTCGCTCCTCCTCTGAAACTTCAGGCCTTCACATGATTGATGATCTCGGGCTCTGAGAACTGAGCACGCGATGCACGCTCACGTTTATATCTACCAACGCGATTGGACTAAAAGACACTTTCAATAAAGCATTTTTTTTTGCTCTCTTCACGTTATTTTAAAAGTTCACTTTATTTCAAAAAGGGGTCTGCGTAAATACTCCTTTGAACTCTTCGTGCCTTGCACATAACACGGGCTTCGACACTCGATATCAGTTGCACACGCGATGCATCACCCGAAGTCGAGTTAAGATGATTTTTCTTTTGTGCATTAAAGACAGCGTTTGAACGCGGTGAATGCGCGTGGCTCCCCCCCTCGCGCACTGGACGCTCGCGTCGCTCGCTCGCCTCGCGCAGGGTTTGGCGTGGAGCTCGCGCAGGACTGGCTGTGCTCAGCGCCACTTCCGGTTTCCGTCATTTCATTCTCCCGCCGATGCGCGCGGCTCGACTCTCTGCGTTGTATAAGCGCGCGAGCGTCCGACCTGCCAACACACACTGACACTCACTCATCTCACACCGCGCGCGAGAGCGAGGGACCGCCGCGTTTTTTAAAAAACTCTTCTCTTTCCCCTTCTTTTTTTTTTTTTTTTTTTTTTAATACAGTAGTAATAAAACAAGAAAGCGGACCGGAGGCATAAAGAAGACAGGGACTTGTGGGATGAAAACGGGGCTAAAAAGATTCATCCTCTCTTGAACATCATCATCACCAACCATCATTCATTCATTACCTTGACAACCTCTGGCTTTGATTGACAGCTGGAGTGGCAAAAAGCCATGAGACACGACAGTTTAGTTACATGCAGGTTGTTGATGGGCCGGCTGTAACCTTCAGTTTTGGTGCTTGACTTTTTTTTCTTTCTTTTCTGGGGGGCAAAGAGAAAAAGAAGAAGAAGAAGAATTGCAAAAACTCTTCCCGATGCCTGCGCTCTTTCTCAGCCATATACTGGAGAATAGGAGAATTCGGCGAGTTGCTTGAAAACGGGATCTTTGCGGCGCGTGAGTTTGTGAGCGGACTGGGAAATTAAATCTACGACACAGATCCAGAGGTTTATTGGAGCGCAGGCTGATGGCGCAAAGGGTAGGTTTCAAATCTCCAACACTCACCTCCACTAACACACGATCTATCACAGGCCTCGACTGTCTGTCTGTCGCCAAAACCACTTCAGTCTGACGCACTTTGTTGGGAATATTCTCCGCGCGAGACACGCGTTACTCTCCTCGGGAAACACAACTTTACCATGTTTTTGGTAATTACGCGCGGCAAACTTTACCCTCGCGCGACGCTTTTCTTCTCGTTTTCCCAGTATTGCGTGTGTTTGTGCTCTTCTTGACCCTCTGCTTCTCTTCCAGTACGATGAGCTGGCTCACTACGGCGGCATGGACGGGGTCGGGATGTACGGGGACCCTCACGCGCCGCGGCCGCTCCCGCAGGTCCACCACCTGAACCACGGACCCCCGCTCCACGGCCAGCACTACGGCACGCACGCCCCGCATCCCAACGTCATGCCCGGCAGCATGGGCTCGGCTGTCAACGACGTGCTAAAGAGGGATAAAGATCAGATTTACGGGTGAGTTATAGATATTAATATCGGATCCGGGACTTCCTCCGCTCGCGGTTCCTCTTTCCCGTAATAGTTTCCCAGAACTTTAATAGTAGCGTATTATACGGGGCTTTGCCAGAAATGCTGGCACTATTTTAGGGAATACTATACATTTCACTTTGCTGTGCACATTTATTTGTGTGCCTTTTTTTCTTTTTTTGCTTTTGAAAACCTCTTGACTTTCCGCACTTGATTTTATAGCGTTCGCTCGCAGCGTTCATTTCAAAATCCCCGCAACAAAACCCGATGTGATCGCGACTCTCGCCGAGTGTAAATGCAGTTTAATATTTAATTACTCAGTAGTTACTTGAGTGATTAAATCGCCCATTAAACCGCATTTACACCTCGACTACTATCTGGATGTGATTTTGAATGTAGCCTACGCCGCGAGCTGAATCTCCGAACTAATACACACGGTTCCTCGCGTGTTCCCCCGGTGAATGTGCTCTGATCGCGGTGTGTGTGTGTGTGTGTTTCTGCAGTCACCCTCTGTTCCCTCTGCTGGCTCTGGTGTTTGAGAAGTGTGAGCTGGCCACATGCACTCCTCGCGAGCCCGGGGTGGCCGGAGGAGATGTGTGTTCCTCGGACTCCTTCAACGAGGACATCGCTGTCTTCGCTAAACAGGTCTCACATCCACTGTCCATGCGTGCTTAAAACATGCAGACAAACACAGATACAAGTCATACTTTCATTTTATGAATCCTAACTATATTTCCATCAAGCACTAAGCGGCGTGTTTAACCTGATCAGCAACGATTGCGATTTTAGTGCATATTTCATTAAACCTCAATTATTAAATCGCTGCACATTTTTCATCGATTGCTATTAACCCCGATTTGTGTGTGTGTGTGTGTGTGTGTGTGTGTGTTTTAGGTCCGCGCTGAAAAACCTTTATTTTCTTCAAATCCAGAATTGGATAATTTGGTAAGATAACACACACCAGCACTGCTTGTCTTCACTAAAGCCCTGCAATACACTTCTCTTAAATGAGTCTCACTCTTTTTTTTTACTTTTTTCTGGAGTTTATATATTTTTGCATCGGATCTGGAGACAGTGAAAGTAAATAGGACGGGATTTGGTGTGTGTCCGGAGTGTTTGAAGTGGAAAAGTCCCTCATTAGGGCTGAAATCACCATCCACCCCTTCACACTTCACACACGCATTTTTTTTTTTAAATATAAAAAATAATTGCTTATTATTTCTCAAGCACATTATTAACTCTCGAATTATTTCTTAATGTTGGGATGGTTTTTGTTCACTACAAAACATTATGTTGCCTAACGAATATTAAAATGAACCGTAAAGATACGCTAACGATGCACTTCTCTTCACAGATGATACAAGCCATACAAGTATTACGGTTTCATCTTTTGGAGTTAGAAAAGGTAATCTTTTTATTGATTTGGATTGATTTTTACTTTTAGATTTAATTTGGATTAATTTACTGCGCTCATGACCAATCTGTGATTCTTTTAAAAAAAATTGTTGTTATTTTGAATTTATAATTCAGATTTGGCACTTTTTGATATAATAAAAAAAAACGATATTATTTGACAAAATTACCCCGAACGTAAATTGTTATTGAAACAATTAATTATAATTCATAATAATTAATCCATATTCCGTCGATGTTAGTTTAAACGGAATATGACATATACATATTTATTTCAAATGAATGATTAATTTCACGGAAGTTAGGCTATAGTTGGTGCGAAATGTGGACCAGGACGTGCGTGTGTTATTTGTTGGTTTATTTCTGTCAGTGAACTTGTTGAGTGTGTCTGGAGAATGATGCGCATAATTTCTCAGTGTTTTCCCCGTTTGCTGATATAATGTCCTGTATTTCTCAGTGTTTTCCCCGTTTGCTGATATAATGTCCTGTATTTCTCAGTGTTTTCCTCGTTTGCTGATATAATGTCCTGTATTTCTCAGTGTTTTCCTCGTTTGCTGATATAATGTCCTGTATTTCTCAGTGTTTTCCCCGTTTTCTGATATAATGTCCTGTATTTCTCAGTGTTTTCCTCGTTTTCTGATATAATGTCCTGTATTTCTCAGTGTTTTCCTCGTTTTCTGATATAATGTCCTGTATTTCTCAGTGTTTTCCTCGTTTTCTGATATAATGTCCTGTATTTCTCAGTGTTTTCCCCGTTTGCTGATATAATGTCCTGTATTTCTCAGTGTTTTCCTCGTTTGCTGATATAATGTCCTGTATTTCTCAGTGTTTTCCCCGTTTGCTGATATAATGTCCTGTATTTGCGCTGTTCGTGAACGAGTGTTTCTGTCCTCTGCTCCAGGTGCACGAGCTCTGCGATAACTTCTGCCATCGGTACATCAGCTGCTTGAAAGGGAAGATGCCCATAGATTTAGTGATTGACGAACGGGATGGAAGCTCGAAATCAGACCATGAGGAACTCTCGGGATCCTCCACGAACTTAGCCGATCATGTAAGTGACCGAGGGTTTCAGTTTCTTCTGCGCTGTGTTACACTATGTGAGATATATGTGAGATATGCAATATGAGATTAGATCTTGAAATCAGCTTGAATTGTAAAATAAACTGAGCTGAACGTTTCACGCGATTCTTCTGAACTGGTTCTTGAGAGAAACACGGTGTGTTTATGGTATTTATGGCTATGTCTGATATATTAAATTATTTTAATATTGCTGGTCTTTGGTGTCGCTACTATCATGTGTTTTATATTTCGGTATGTGTGTGTCATTCGGGCTGGTGTTGTAGGTCTGCGTAATGATCTCGAATTGCACATGATTGCTTTAAACAAATTAATGTAGGCTATGACGTTATATTTTAGTAGGCTATGTCGTTTTATAATGTTATGTAAGGAGCAGTATATTGTTTAAAGTATTGGACAGTAATGCTTCCCCGTAGTTTGCAATGATGATGTTGGTAATGTGTTTAATTGTCTCTTAGCTATTGATTTTTTTAGTTGTGGTTTGAGTCCATTTTACAGGCCCGATCTCATTACACTCAATCCAACTATCAATCTTTATATTGAAAATGACATCGGCTTTGTTTAAATGTGTTGATATCGATGTTGCAAATCAAATGATGTGAAAGGAAAGTTTTCTGCGTCGTGTAGTTGAGGCTCGTGCATGTGTCGAGGATCGGGATATATGGATATATATTATAGAGTCACTAGCAGATCAAGATTTAAGAGTTAAAGCAGATTCCAGCATCTGTGGGGTTAATCTGTACCGTATTACAATTAATCAACTCAATTAATCGATTAAAAACCGGGAGAAACATTCAAACAATTATTTAAATCCTCACATAGGCCAACTTAACAACTCACTTCGAGTGTAAAAATAATGTTGAAAATAAGACACGCTGTGCTGTTTGTTATTGGGTTCATTTCAATCATGACGAAATGAAAACTGTCAGTTCATCGGAACACTGACCGAGTCTCGAGAACGCATCGAATTTACGTTCGAATTTCCCGTCATTTTTTCGAACGCTTTGTTGCCTAGAGTTTCTTTGGGTTTGAACACACACATCTCTCTCTCGCGCCATATCTCACATCGATATTGACCTGCAGATGATTCTGAGTAAACAGAGCTTTAATATTTATGTGACTGTTTGAGAAGGCTATTTTCTATCGGATGTGTGTGTGTGTGTTTTGAGGTCCAAACGTCACATTTGCATAGCGTGCACGAGCATGTGTGTTGTTAATGAGAGTAAATGTGTGTGTTGCCTGTTGCTGCGCCCCATCCGTCATTCACAACACACACACACACACACACACACACTGTCCTGATGTTCAGAAACTGTTGCGGTTATATTACTAAATCTAAATAAATTACAGGGATTAGATTTCTCAAAATCATGTGGGTCTTGCACTTTATTATATGGGCCGCAAACCCCTTTTTGATGTGAGGACAGCAGTCTGATGATAGTCGGATATGCAGATTTATTTAGGGAGTACCTATCGCATCCATTTTTTTTTTTTTTTTTTTTTTTTACTTTGATATGCATTTTTAATATATTTTGCCTGAGGCTACATCATTTGGTGAAAGTTGCTTTGCTGGGGATGGAGGACATGCCTTATGCTCTCTCTCTCTCTCTCTCTCTCTCTCCCTCTCTGTCTCTCTCTCTCTCTCTCTCTCTCTCTCTGTCTCTGTCTCTGTCTATCTCTCTCTCTCTCGCTCTCTCTCTCTCTCTCTCTCTCTCTCTCTCTCTCTCTCTCTCTCTCTCTCTCTCTCTCTCTCTCCTCTCCCTCTCTCTCTCTCTCTGTTGGCTATATCTAGTAAATAATCTGTACTAATTTACATTTGAAGAAAATTTAGCCTTGTGGATGTTCTGATATCGGCACTTTTCACACCAGCCCTCTCTCTCTCTCTCTCTCTCTCTCTGTGTGTGTGTGTGTGTGTGTGTGTGTGTGTGTGTGTGTGTGTGTGTGTGTGTGTGTTTGTTTATGTCCCTTTTGGGTACATTCACCAGGATACACACCAGTAAACTGAGGACCACCTCAAAAATTGAGGACATTTTGTATGTCCTCATTTGTTTGACTATATAATGGCATTCAGCATACTCTAAAATGGTGTCCAGACTTAAAATCTCACTTGTCCCAAAAAATCACTTTTAAGTGATTTGTGTATGTGAAGTGTGTATGCCCCCCCACTAAAGTGTGTATAACACAGCGCCCTCTAGGAGTACTGCACTTCCGGAAAAGATACACACTTCGGGGATTCTGACCAATCAGAGCGCAGGAAGCCACTATGAGAGCGGGACTTGATGATCTGACCAATCAGAGGCCATTACGTCATCAACAAAGATGGCGGAGGCAAAAAAAAATCATTATTATAAATAAATAAACAGATAATCCACATTCAATTATAGATAAATTGCCAATAATTATTATTTAAATAAAAAATTACTAATTTGCCCTGAGCAGCAGGAGCTCTCATGATGTATATGAGCATGTGTTTCAACTTTAATCCTCGCAGTTTTGCTCTCGCATCAGAGTCTGCTCTGTGTGTGTGTGAAGATCGCGCTGCTGCGCGTCACCGAGACTATACAGCACGTACAGTAACTTACATAGGAGTTTATTAATCATGTAGGAACGAGTTTGAAGCGGGGAAGGGACAGACACATTACGTCATGTGAATTTAAAAAGTACGTTACATATTTCCTTCCAAAAGCAGAGGAACAACTGATTAAATCTGTCAATATGGGTGTGATGATTTATTCATCCGAGTTTGTTTAATAAAAACAGACAAGCCACAAAAAGATGTGAAAACATGCTTAATCGCTTGCTTTTATGAGTAATCTTTTTTTAAAAAGTGTTTTCTCCTACTTTGCGTTCTGCCGTTCCCTCTCATATATCAGTGAGCGGGCGCCGCCCCGCCCCCACCCACCGCACAAGCGGGAGTCCGTTACCACAGCAACACATTCACTTAAAGCAAACAAGCAAACATTTCTCTTAATATTATATTATATTATATTATATTATATTATATTATATTATATTATATTATATTATATTATATTATATTATATTATATAATAGAGGAGAGCAGTTACAGCAAACATTCTCTTTAAATTGTATTATATTATATATTGTATTGTATTATTTTATATTATATATCTAGGAGAGCAGTTACAGCAAACATTATCTTTATATTATATATTATATTGTATTATTTTATATATTATTTTATATTATATATCTAGGAGAGCACTTACATGCAACATTCTCTTTATATTATATTATATAGAGGAAAGCAGTTACAACATTCTAATTATATATTATATTATTATAATAATTATATTGAAGTTTTTTTCAGTCGCTTTGGTGCATTTCCCAGATCACAACTAAAATTCTTGTTTTAGACATCATCATCTAGTCACTGTTTAATCAACAGAAACATTTGAATAACCTGTTAAACATAAGTATTTCTATTTAAATATAAATAAAATGCACATCATAAAAGCAGTTTATCATTCTTTTGAACAAATTGCAAATGCTTTGGTACATTCATGCAATTTATATACAAGTGTCTGCTGTTTCTTACATTATTAATTGCTTATGTCATGTTTATCAAAATGTATTATACTGGTTCTCTGTTGAATAGTCTCAAAACATATAGGCAATAGACCCCTCAAAACATATAGGCATTAGTTCCATAAGTCATTAAATGCAGAATGGTTGAACTAGTTGTCATAAACTGTCAAACATATTTTCTATACAATTCTATTAGACTTTTTTTGTCCTGAATTGTTGAATTGCAGATGTGAATTCTGAATTTCACTAATGAAGGGGAATGTAAAGCATTAGATCAATCAATGATCACCAGTTCTCTATAATCGCTCAGAGTGCATCTCATGATCTTCCTCTGGCATATAGACAGAGCACAACACATACACACTCTGAGAACGGAAGAACAACAGGGTGAACAGCCGAGGAGGAGAAGAGGAGTAAGCATGTGTGGTGATACAGAGGTAAAACAGAGGAAGAGATAGAACAGGCCAAGAATGTAGGTTTCTGAAGAAATAAGGGCCACTATGTAGATCATGTTCAGTCATGACCTCATGGCCGAGGCGGGTTGAAAGGTGAGCCATGAGAACAAACGTGTGTGTCCTCAATCATTCAAGCGTTTGTAGACAGAACAGGTGTGTGATCAGACAGTGTTCACTAGGCTACTGTTCACCATAAGTTCATTATACAGTAAATATACGTGATAGAGACATAATGTAACACACACACACACACGTACATATGTGTGTAATAGTCTTTTTCTTTATTGCAATGACATTGTACTGTAATTTTTTAACAGACCAACAGTATATATGTGAGTCCAGTCTCAACTAGAGTAATGGGCCATGTGTGTTTATGGCTACGTTCACACTGCAGGCTAAAACGACCCAATTCCGATTTTTTTTGCCTCTATGCGACCTGTATCTGATCTTTTCATGACAGTCTGAACGACACAGATCCGATCTTTTCAAATGCGACCCAGGCCACTTGGGTATGTGGTCCAAATCCGATCTGTATTCGATCTTTTCAAATGCGACCTCAATCTGAACGGCCAAGTCACATGTATCCGACCCGCACGCCATTGATATGCGACAAACGTCATAATTCTGCGTTGAAGTAGGCGGGAATGAGAAGATAAACAAGTTAGCTATCGTACGATAGCACGCACCTGTAGCTAGCCACTACACTCCAACGCGTTGCACTGTTTGGTCCGCCGCAGACGTGTCTCTTCCCGTGACAGAGTTAATCGAAGGTGCTCAAACATAATCGAAGGTGGATCTGGTCATTCGGAAGTTACTGATGAATTCTGTATTAGTGAAGCCACTCACATCAGTATCCCACCACTCCTGGCTGCGACTCCGCATCCACACAAATAACTTTAATATTGCTAAACGAGCTCCACTGTTGACATTCATGTTTAGCTACTTCCGCAAACAAGTGACGTTGTTGACC